AGTTTGGTCCAACTTGTGAGATAGGATAGTTTTTTGCCCATGAGTTACCCAATTTCTTTTTTTGGCGAAGTTAAGGATTTTTAATAGGACTAGACAAAGGGTCGTTGAAAAGGGCAGAACAACGTCTGCCTGACAAGCTAGATAATATATATTATAATATCGTTATGTATAGTTGTAGTAGTAGTTAATAAACTAGCTTCTAGACGGCGCTGTTGTCGCGGCAAACTTTTACGTTAGAGATTCATATCTATTTCCGTATATACCGTAGACAGAGAAACCTATAGACTAATGATTAGCGTGGCCTCGAGTGAGAAAAGACGATAACGTAGTTATTTAAACATATTTAGATAAAAAATTTGATTGTCCTAAGAACTAAACTGAACAAGATTCACCAATCTTAAGCTTACAAAACACTTTTTTCTCTCTTAAACCAACTTGGACACTCCATAGATCGCTACGAACTGTCAAAGTTGTTTAGCAAAGTGTAGTTTGCTAAACAAAAAAAACCGGCACGGAGAAAGGGACAAACAATCACACCGCTCTGTGTCATTTCTATGCAAGACGTATGCATAAATCTATCTTTTTCGTGTGCGAATGCGAAAGAAGGCGTCAATTTGTCTATAGGTTTCTCTGTCTACGATTTTCCACGGTGATCGATTTTCTGTTCTCTAACCATCATGACTATAACAAGATACTCGCTCACTCATCACTTCATACAATAACAAGTCCAAAGATAAGACTATATATGTCGTAGACCATGAAGGTTCTCTAACCTTCATGATTGTAGTTGTTACGATTCGTCAGTTAAGACAGGCATAGGTCTTATACCATACAGCCGAGTTTGACGTTTATTTTATTCAGAAAACTCTTCTGTATATACTAATGCGTTCTTTAAGGATTCCCTATATGCTAGCAATTACCCTATATAAATATATATGAAAATTATATCGACTAGTTGTCGTTGTAACGATTTGCCAATTAAGGCGTTTTATGCCATACAACCTAGTCTGATGTGTATTTTGTTTAAACTGGAATATCTTTAATTCCTGACTTCCTGCAGTGCAGTGTGACCGAAGAAAAAAATGTTCAGGATTTTAAACTCTATATTTTTACATATTTTGTATCAGTAGACGCAAGAAAAAAGGTCTCATAAAATTTGTTTAGTTCACCATTGTCCTTTGTTTAATGGTGCCGTTGAGTAATCAAGGGCATTTTTGTAATTAAATAATGTAAAATAGTGTTCTATAACGATATAATTGTATCTAAACGCAATGAACAAAAATAATAAAGAATAACGTAATAATTATTTATAAAAAAATATATTAACAATAATATCTAAGTGAAAAAGGTACAATAGTTAACCAATGCCATCGATAGATGGTGTTCTGCAAATTGCTTATTAAATTTTAAATAAGTAGGTTTGCTTATAATTTTTTTTAACCGCCGATTACCTACGACATGGTAAATCAAATTTTAAAAGAACTATTAACAATTTCTTTGGTTTCGGCGAGGATCATATGTGCTTGGCAGTAGTCATGTCATACTTCCCTCTTTCAGTTTTAAAATGCACATAGTCGTGAAATTAAAAATAACATTACCCGATTTTGAGTTGTTTTAATTTATTTCTACCCTTTCTTTTCCAAATAGCATATAGTTTTTATTTTTAATGTAATAATAAATTGACTACCATAATTTTATATAGATGGCGCTATAAGTATTTTCAAGCACCATAAGGCCGAGACATGAAAGACACATAATATGTAAGCAAATAATTACTTTGCTTGCTGCTTTCAACGCAATATTTGTATTGGACCAGCAAATATAAGTTTTTTACTTTTATCTGAACATAAGCCTCCCCATTGATTGCCTCATATTTGGCATAGTTTCCACGATCTATTACGCACGCTTTACCTGATTATGGAACCGAAGATGCAAGTTATATATTATAATATATAACCAATGTAATATGGTCCACATGAAATGTATATATACATCGGGATATCTCTGTAGGCATTCTCATACTTCCAGAGAGTCCATAGTGTCGTCCTGAAGCATTTGTTCTCTTTACTTTAAAATTGGTAATAAAGTGCATGTTAAGTAAGCTATTTATTCATTAATAAAAGCAAAATTTATTTCTGGGGGAACAAAAAACGGAAATAAAAAAAAAAAAAAAATAAAAAAAAGTAATAAAGTATAAATAAAATAAAAATTTCTTAAATTTATTAGCATCACACGGCCTGCTGCCTGCACATTCTTTGCCCACTAAACAAAATGAATGTCTTGATCATTTTGTCCCTAAAACTCTATTGCCTGCTTTGACATTAGTCGCCCACTCAGCCTTAACTGATCTTGAAACTGTGTTATTATTCCTCGCTAACAAAATGCCAAAAACCGCGGTTAAAAAAACAAAGACGCGCATTCACTATGATCAGCTGACTGACGATATAAAAATATCGACTTTGGTGAAGTATATTGTAATACCCAAAATCCTCAGTAGCAGAAGAGTTAATGACAAGGTCGTAAAGAACACAAACACCGTAAAGGTATCAAATGGTAAGAAAATCGTTAAGCCATGGATCACTCCAGACATTTTACGCTGTATTCAACACAGAGATAATTTACACAAAAAATCAAGAGTCGCCGGATAACGAAATCTTCAAAATATATTTTACTAATCACAGAAAATATTGTAGTAAGATGTTAAAAAAAATAAATTTGAAATAATTTACTAAATAAATTAGTAAACGTGATTTTATAAGTATCTAGTACAAGTAATGTGTAAAGTGTTGGCCAAATATCGTGTTCAAGTGTTATTTCCGAAAAAAAAAATTAACATTCATAAAATGTGATAAAAATATCGCATAAACAGTGTACGTGAAAAACAACTAAGAAATATCAAATATTTCGCAAGTATTACAAATAAACTTTAATAAAGTGCCTATTTTATCTAGTAATCAAAATAAAATTTGTAAATTGAAATAATACTAGTTTTTACGAATTAACAGCCCTTCAAACGCTTTACAGCACTAATGGTCACGGGCGGGGCTGAGATGTTCAACTTCCATATTTCATAGTTAACCGCGGTTACCATAGATTAAAATTTAGCTTTTAATCCGATCTATACAGTATGAACTTATGGTATCTTGAAGTCTTGCAGTTGTATGCTTGGGTTGGGATTTAATTTTATTTATTATAGGATCCCAAGCAGATGGTAGCACCCAGCCATCTTATCTATCGAAGTTAGGATGTTTTTTGATTTCAATAGCCTCGCGAATCATCCTTGGAAGGAATCGGTGTTCTTTAGCGAGGATTTGCGGTCTATCAAATCTGATGTAGTGACGGGAGCGATCCTGTACGTGTTCACAGACTGCAGACTTCCCGGAGCGTCGATTCTTCACATCAGCTATATGTTCTTTAATGCGGGTGTTTAGTGATCGTTTAGTTTGTCCTATGTAGGAGAGACCACATTCACAATCAAGCTTGTACACTCCTGCATCTTGCAGAGGGACATTACACTTGACTGATGGTAAAACTGACCAATCTTCTTCAGCGGCTTAAAGTATGTTTTGATGGAAGCGCGCTTCAATGTACAATCTTGTCAGTGACTCCTCTAACATATGACAGTACAGCAGGTACACGCTCGACTGTGGCCGGCTTCACTCGTTCACTGTGACGTAGGCGCGGGACTCGAAGCTTGTTATCATGCAAAACTTGCTTGACATGGTGGAGCTCGGCAGCCAGGTATTTACTGTCACAGATCCCTCGTGCTCTCTGAAACAAAGATTTACCCACGGTAGCTAACTGTGAAGGATGGTGGTGAGAATCACCGTTTAAATATCTATCTGTATGGGTCTTTTTTCTATACACAGTATGGCTCAAGGTGTTATCAGGATTCCGAATTACTAACACATCTAGAAAAGCTAAGGAATTGTTTACCTCTAACTCCATTGTGAACTGAATTTTAGAATTTTGTAGAGTTAGGATGGTCTAAAAATGCAGTTACTTTAACTAAAGGTAGAATTGTGAAAGTGTCGTCTACATACCGCTTGTAGAATCTCGGATTTATGGGAGAACTAAGCACGGCTTTCTCATCGAAGTCTTCCATGAATATGTCGGCGACAACGGGAGATACAGGTGAGCCCATCGCCACACCATCTACTTGCTTGTAGAACTCCTCCTTCCACAATAGGTAGCCTCCACATAGGTAGCCAGATGTAGGTCTGAGTAATACTGCATATTCTACGGGCATGTTGTTTTCTTCCAGCCTTCTAGTTACAATTGAGATGCAGTCTTCAACAGGTAAGCATGTACACAATGACTGCACATCAAAACTGACCATAGTTTCATTGTCTGCCAGATGTAAGTCTTTAATCTCGCTGACAAAATGGTAGGAATCCTTTATGTGTGCTCTTGTATGTCCCCTGAGCGGTGAGAGTATTTTCGCTAAGTGTAGAGGTAGAACCAGATAGTCGCCTTGGAAGATACCCCTTCTTATACTTATGCGGCTTTTCGCAGCCATCCTCCGCTCACCCAGATGACAAAGGGTCATATTCCACTACCTCATACACAGCTCGTGGAAGTCTCTAACTGTACAGTCAATCTTGTACAGCTCGAGGACCCTCTTTAGCCATGTATGGGGCACCAAGTCGAATGACTTTCTGTAGTCTATCCAGGCAGCGGAGAAGTTCCGACGGTTGTGTTTCACCACTTTGCCAATGACCACGTCAATGAGGAGTGGTTCCTTGGTTACACGACCACCGCCCCGACATCCATTTTGAGCGTGTGACATCACCTGATTTAGCTCCAGGTGACGAGTGATGTCATTGTCTTATGCATGATGGATAGACACGTGTTGGGGAGGTATTTGCTTGGGTCTGTGGTATCCTGGTCTTTAGTAACCAAGTGAGTGATCCCAGTTGGGAAGAGGCTCGGGAGCGACTTCTGGTTGAGAGCCTCTTGAAACTGTCTGGCGAGCACAGTGTGACACACTACGAACACCTTCAGTCAGTAATGATGCAGCCCGTCGAGCCCCGGACTTTTCCAGTTCGGGGCCTACGGACTGCCTCAGCCACGTCTTTCGGCGTTATCGTGACGGGATTCATAGGCATAATACTCACACCCTGGCTCGCTACAACTTCCATCCAAGGGTCCTCGCTGTGGTTTACGGGCTCTGACCACAAGCCACGCCAGAATGCGATAGTGTCGGCCTGATCCGGTCTTGGGCCCGCTCCACATACCCTTAGTCGCTCCAATGATTTATAGAGCCTCTTTTGATCATTCTCAAAGAGACGATTCTGGTTGAAACGCCTTGACCTCTCGGTAAATCGTTGAATCCGCTTCCCCCAAGCAGCGATTTTTTGCTTCAGATCGTCTATGCGCTCCATTAGTTTCTGCGTGATATCCGGCTGGGACAAACTGTATATTATATTACAATATCTGTCCCAGCAAACGCTATTCTAACGGTGCGCACAACCCTCGGTCTATTATAACACAACCTGAAGCTTGTCAGTCTGCCGATAAGGGCCTTTGCGATACGGTCCTCGATTCTTTTTCTCCAGGCTAGAATGGCGCTACTTTTTTTAGTAGCGCGTCCAGCCATTCGAATTTTGGCGCCAATCATACGGCAAACTGCCACTGTGGCGCCAAAAAGAACTGAATCCGTCTCGCAAAGGTCCCTGCTGACTTCCAAATAGGTCACCAGCATTGGGTTAAGAGCCTTCATGGCAGCCCAATTTCGCTTGCTTAGGGGAATGGGTATGCGGGAAAGTCGCGTTCAATTTTCGAGAGATATGCTGCGCGTTTCCAAAATCGCCTCTATCAATATTCTCCTCATTTGCTCTAGTTCGTGGGAGACCATTTCATCCTCGTCCGAATCAACCACAACTGGAAGATCCATGGCAGCTTCAACGTGTGGATGCTGGTCTGTCGCCTGAGCAGCTGCATCCTCAGGCATAGCCAATTCATTCAATAAGGGAATGGCCTCCCGTCGTAGTCGCTCGAGCTCGGCATCATCAAATATTTTCAAGCGTATGATGTACCAAACTCGGACTGCCGGGTTTTGTTCCGTGACGAGAATAGACGACTACAGCGCATAAAAAAGCAATGCATCCGAGCCCGATACGCTATCCCTGCATTCTTCCCCTTTCGTCCTATAGTACGCCTGCAATGCGTTTGCGTTCATATTTTTTGACGAAAGCATGCGGCGCATTCCACCAGCGGCGGATGCCGCTTGCCGAGTCCGAGAGGATCCCGCCGACATCAAGCCATCTGGTGGGATGATGGATGCGGGGGATGCTAGGTGATCTTGCAGCTCCTCGCGCTCGGCTGGCGGCCCGCATGCTGCCGCGTCTAGCGCCAGCTCCAGACGCGCCCCGGCGCCCCCCAGACAGCAGCCCTATACGTTGATGTTATTATTATTAATAACATTATTATTGTTATTTTGGGGTATTAATAGTGTATTCTCATCTGGTTGAGCTGAATAAATATATAAAAGGATTATTTTATTATTATTGCTATTATTTATACGTATGTCTTTTGATGGCATTTGTACATTACTTACATATAAAAATCCTTTTTAATTCCACTGTACGATATAGATGTTTCCGAGAATACAACAGCAACAACACAAATACAATAGACATGCACTTTATATGTTAAGTTCCGAAATGAAAATTTTAAACATATTTCATAAAAATTGAAAGTAAATAAAACACATCATTGACAAATGCAGCATTACTTTATTTATTTTCTATACCTGCCAATGACGCCAAGTAAATTCCATCATTTAGAGGTTATTTCAGCCGTTACAATGCTTTTTTCAATAATGTAATGATTCTTTATTTATTTAACTTAATGTATACAGTTATGTGTAAGCGGTCTTTATATTAAGAGTCCGTCTGTAAGTAGCACCCTCTTGCCTATTTCTGCTATTGCTGTGTTCCGGTCTGAGGAACATAGTGTATATTTCAGGTTCTAAAACGTTCCAAATTAGTCCTCAGCGGTCAGGCTTACCATCGACTTGGCTCCAAGTTCATTTCACTTTTATTAAAAAAAATATTCTAAATTAAAAAAAAAGAAATGATCTTTAAAACATTATAATAAGCATTTCCTTGAAGTTTACTGTTCAACCTTTCATTTAAGATGACGGCTCGCTTACCATTTCAGAGGCCAACATTACTTCAGAATAATTTTCTGTCCTCCTTTTTTGTTTACACACAAAACTTATATTATTTTTTAAATCTTTATAATACTTGAAGCGATTGAAATGTTAAAAATTTAATTTACGAATGTGAAAACCTTATTTTTGATCTTTTGTCTAATAAAATATATTATTATTTCAGTTGCAAAACATCCAGTTGCCAGACTAAGACCAAAAGCAAGAATATGCCAGGGAATAATAAGACGAGCCCGAAACTGTGTATCATGAAAATGGTGGTTTTTGTCATCTTCGTTTCTCAAATCTCTCAAATGCTTTACATACAAACCGCTCTCAATAATACGAAAAAGTTGCAATTGTAATTTCTGTAGCATAGGGAATCCTTTATAAAAGTGTATACCATTTAAAACCCTGTTAATTGGTTGTTTAAATGCATAAAGTTTAGGATTTCCATCTTCGTCAATGAATTGATCTTTGAAACGAACATAATAAGCATAATAAAGTATAGCATACTTATCATGGTCTTGACTGACTGTCGTAATGCTCTGCAATATATTTTCACATCCTTTATTGTTTCCCCCTTTAACCTCAAACGGTACTGATGCGGTTTTCAAATGCTTTATTATCGAAGGGCTTACACATGGTTTTACATTAAAGGTAGTCAAATCGTTCTCGTTAGAAATTTGATATTCGTAGCTAGGGTGTGTTGTAAGACTCGACAGATTTGATTGGTAATGTATGTTAATCAAATAAGCAAAAGCAATCCAAATAAACATGAAATATCTAAACCTTAGCTTACTACCCAACGTCGCACCGTGTTGTAAAAGAACGTCCCACATAACTAAAATTGTTCCGAATTTGTCTTTTATATCAAATATTAGAACAAAAACCATAAAATATAAAATGAATGCTATGACTAATAATATCCAAACCACGGCATCAAATTCTATATAAGTATTTTTCAAATTTGATACTAAGCCTGATTTCTTGACCAAGATTACGAGTGCGTCGTTGTAAGTATAGTATCCATTTAAGTAGCTAAAAGCTAATATTCTATTATGCTTCAAAATCAATCCCCCCATCATTATGTCAACATCACCTTTCTGAATGGATCTTATAGGACCATAAGCCATCATATCATCTCCTATAATAGAACCTTCTTCAGGATCAAATTGGTATGTATATTTGACGTTGAATTGTTCCAATTCGGTTAAAATTTGCATAATGAATGGTTCTACTCCGGTAGGTTTCCCTTTCTTCTGATAATTATTACGAGCAATAACGTATAGGTTCGCGTCACAAAAAGCTACATTAAATGTGCAATTTCTAAGTCCTGTTACAGGTTTGTAAAAAAATGATTTTGTTATGTTTGCTTCAAGACATTTTCCGTATGATATAGTCCTAGTAAATACCTTTCCACAACCATAGTTTTCAAATGGATTGTACGTGTAGACATTCGTATTACTTGCTCCATTTATTACCAAGACTTTATAAACATGATAATGCAGAAGAATTTTAAATACATCATTTATTTCTGATAATTCAATTTCATTGAATATAAGCAAAAAATCGACATCCGGTTTCCAACCTTCCTCCATTGATAGAAACATAAATTTATCTTTGAAATCTCTTAAATTTTTAGCTGTTATCAAGTAGCCTTCATTGTAATATACTACTTTCTTCATTGTTGTTCGTGATATTAAAGACAAATATTTCATTTCGTGAACTACTCTAATTATTTCATTGTCAAAAGAATTAATATCGACAAACGTAACTTCTGATCCTTTTTGAAACCATTGTGTAATGATTCTCTGAATACACGATGTTGATTCCTTATGATTATCTCGAATTAATATTTCTTGATTTTTACACAAATGTATGATGACACTTAATGAAATCAAAACTTTAAGTGAAAACATAATTAAATTATGTCAATTCGTACCTTATAAGCTCAATCAGTATTATGCTTGAGGCAATAAATCAATGTACAAGTACGTACACTTCGTATGGTTCGAAAACAAATGTATCGCATCCTTTTTTTTAATGTACAGCTACTACTTGTACTAGAACTTAAAAACTACAATTATATTTTGGTTACAGACGTATTATTTTCGAACGTGGGTTAAGATGGGTGATTCTTCTAAAACACTGTTTAGAGTAAATTCAACTAAATATATTTAAATTCCTGCTTTGAAAATTATTTTTTTCAAAAGTAAGAAGTTATGCGTTTGAGGTACTAAAAATATGTTCCGACTATTTCCGGCTGGACGTCCGGCCGCGCACGCACACACGCGCGCGCTTGTTTGTGTGGGTGTGTGTGTGTGTGTGTGTGTGTGTGTGTGTGTGCGTGCGTGCGTGCGTGCGTGCGTGCGTGCGTGCGTGCGTGCGTGCGTGCGTGCGTGCGTGCGTGCGTGCGTGCGTGCGTGCGTGCGTGCGTGCGTGCGTGCGTGCGTGCGTGCGTGCGTGCGTGCGTGCGCGTGCGCGTGCGCGTGCGCGTGCGCGTGCGCGTGCGCGTGCGCGTGCGCGCGCGTGCGCGTGTGCGTGTGCGTGTGCGTGTGCGTGTGCGTGTGCGTGTGCGTGTGTGTGTGTGTGTGTATTTTCAAGTTTTCTCTAAATAATTCAAAAATTATTGACTTATCAACTTCACAAGTCTATGCCTTTGTTTTCTACTTGAAATACTGCGTCGAATGTCGCCAAATAAGTCAAGAACGAACGAGGCCTCAAAAATTACAGCTGTTTAAAGTTTTATAAATATTCGCTTTCTAACTTTTAAATTCTTCGATCTATCAACTCAAAACAACAAAAACAATTTTTTCTAAGTAAATCAAAATCGAGGCGTTCAACAGTTAAGTATAGCCATTTAAAAATTTCTAAATAATCGCCTTTTTACTTCTCCTTTTTTAATCTTGTAGAGCTCAAACATGAACCAAATAGAAGATTTTCGGGTTTTTCAAGCTCAAAAAAAAAAGAAATAAAAAAAATTTTTTTAATATAATTGTAAATATAAATTTAACCATTTACTTAATTTAATCGTATAATATGAATAACGAGCTAGTAAAAACTGTTTATGCTGTCGGAGTTCTGCAAAAACCGTCGCAGAAGAAGTCATATAAAAACTCTCCAATCACACTCTCAATTTCATTGCTGTTAGACGGGAAATGAAGCCGTAGTTTTCAGCAGATAAATTAGTATACAGGCAACAAAACTGACAGATTCCCAAATGCATACGACGGGACTTATGCAGCTTTAATATATCTCGTATTTAAGAAATGATCGAACGGAAACAAGGCACCAAGACTTTACCAGAGATCTGTGTGCCATAAAGAACCAACTGTCGAAGTAATGTTCATCCCTGTTGGTAAGGAGCTGTGATAAATCACACTGGCGCTAAACCACCAAACAATGACCATCACTTGTCTAGGGGTAAGTTTTCGTTTAGGGTGCTGAACCAGGATTCAACTAATTTTCTGAGCACTTGCTACTGTCAAACAGAATCCATTTTTCGTCACAGGTAACAATGCGGTTCGAAATTCCTTCGTTTGTGTACCTGTTGAGCAGTGCAAGATACGTATCAACTCGTATTCCACGCTGGGGATCATTGAGTTCGTGGGACACCCATTCGATAAGTTAAGGGATCAAACTTGGAGGTCTCTCAAAAGGCTAAGCTTATTAAAGTCTTGGAAAAGCATAAGAATATGTTTTCAAGCAAATTAGGTAGAATGAATTACTATAAACATAAAATTGAAATGGTTGTTGAAGAACCTATAGTTATTAGAACTATGGGTTCTTAATTTTTTCCTCGCTCCATCTCGAAACAATATTTTTTGGGTAAATACAGAGTATGTAACACTGTATTAACGTGTAAAGCTGGCTGTAGAACTTCTCAATCTCACTCAAAGTGTCAGTTGTCCCGTAATCGATTCTAACAAATTCGGTCTTCATCTTCGACCAACTGTCGAAGCGAATTTGGTAGAACACGTCGTTGTTGTAGCCACACGGAAGTGTGAGAAAAGATCCAAGAACAAGTCTTATCCGATTTTATAACGCTGATATCCCGAACGTCAGTCTGAGCGAACGCAACGGCAAGGCAACGCCCGTGGCGAGGGTGGAATTACTGATGAGCTCCAGAAAACGGTTGGAAAACCAGTACTTGAAGTCGTTCAAAAAATCATAATCATGGGGGTGAATAAGATCATAGTCCGCCGCCATCTTTCGGAGTTCAACTCGTTGTATTTAGAGTGACGTCATTTTACTTTTCTTATTTTTCCCAGCAAACCCCTTCATATATTACCCATATCATAAGGGTTACTATGAAAATTATAAATCGCCATTTAGTGACGCCCCCCATATTGGATTTAGAATAATATGCCTTTACTTATTGTGTTACGCTTATCAAGCCCTTTCATTTGATACCCACATTACTGGGATTGCTTTGGAAATGATAAATCGCTATTTTGTAAAGTCTAACATACTGGATTAAAAATAGCAGCATTTAAGTATCACGTATATATCGTACATTGTCACGAGATCCAAACGTGTGTGCCAAATTTTAGCCTAATAGCTTAAGTGGAAGTGTGGGAAATGTTGATCGCAAAATTCCAGGACACATATACACTCAAGTGAAGGTAAATAAAAGCTTTCGAATAAGATTGCAAGTCTACGATATAGACAATGTATCTACATTTTATAGTCAAATAGGTAAACAACGAAAAGGAATAAATGCTTTTATGGTTGGTGTTTTCATTCTATAAAACGGAATCCTAAAAAAACAAAGCTTATGAGTGTAATATTACAACATACTATTACTGGGTATTTACACGGTCCTACACCACCACGTATAATTATTTAAATGATAACATCGCGTCTGATATGTAACACTGTAATGTATAAAAAAACGTTGTTTCGAGATGGAGCGTTCCAAAGATTTAAACATTTATATCATTTAAAACATACATTTTTATGATGAAATAAATTTAGCAATATAAAACTACATTAATCGTCTTTAAGTTTTAACAATTGTATGCTAATAATACTCAATATTTTTGATCTTACTTTCATTTTTTAAGACCATTCTGAGTTCTGATAGTTGTACTATATTGCTTACGTAAAATTTAATAAAATTTATTTTGTTAAATTTTACGTAAGCAATCACTTTGAAGTTATTATTAATTAGATGTGTGTGTCAAATGTTGTTAAGTTAATAAGTTATTACCGTATTTTTTGAGATATAATGCTATATTAGAGATCCGAAAAAATGAAGAACCCAAAGTTCTAACTAACTATGAGTTCTTCAACAATGATTTCAATTTTATGTTTATAGCAATTCACCCTACCTAATTTGCTCGAAAACATATTCTTATGCTTTTCCATAAGCTAAGCCTTTTCAGAGAGCTCCAAGTTTGATCACTTTTTCTACGTTTGTTAAAAGATCATCGGTATCTATTATTATAATTATTGCATTTAGGTAGAAGTCTTTGTTCTTCATATTAAATTCTATCCTAGTAACCGTATTGTTTAAACAAATCGAAAATTTTATTTTCCTTGAACCAGTCAAAGCCTAATATTAAAGGTATTATTAAATTATTAACAATTAAAGTTTGTGTTTCAAAGACTACCTCATCCATCAATCTTTATAGGCGATATAATCAATTTTCTTTTCTTTTCTTTACTCTAGGTTAGTTCTTTTCTCGTTCAAATGCTAAATATTGTAATTCAGCGAAGAAACGCAGCCAGCGTTCTCGGCACGATACCACGGGGAGTAGGACTGTATGATAATTTAAAAATTTAGTCCTAATTTTCTATAGTTTTAATAAACTATAGAAAATTAGGACCATATTGTGTGGAATATGAGTTCCGTAGCAATAACGCGGCACAAGCGACATGCAACGTCATCAGCGTTTACGGAGCGAATACTATAAATGAACGCACCACGGGTTACTGTGCACCCACTTCCATTCTTAAAATTTTGATCTGAAAAATGAATCACGTGGTGAACCGAAATCTTTAGTCTCCAATGACGAATTAAAAGCGATTGAGGAAGCTTATGATACTCATTCTAAGGATGATTAAGCAGAAGCAGTTTTCGATGTTAGCATCAAAATAATATCGGTTCATTTGCGTCAAATTGGCAAGGTAAAAAACTTGTCGAATGGGTGTCCCACGAACTCAATGATTCCCACGGTGGAATACGAGTTGATACGTATCTTGCACTGCTCAACTGGTACACAAACGAAGAAATTTCGAACCGCATTGTTACCTGTGACGAAAAATGGATTCTGTTTGACAGAAACAAGTGCTCAGCAAATTAGTTGAATCCTGGTTCAGCACCCTAAATAATTCCCTAAACGAAAACTTACCCCTAGAAAAGTGATGGTCATTGTTTGGTGGTCTAGCGTCAGTGTGATTTATCACAGCTCCTTACCAACAGGGATGAACATTACTGCAGATGCGTACTGTGAAGAACTGAACACAATGACGGAGAAGCTCGCACGACTCCAATCAGTTTTGGTCAATTCTTGCTCGTCACCGTTGCTCCTGCACGACAACGCGCGACCTCGTACTGCACAACAGACGTTCTTCAAGTTACAAGAACTGGGGTTGGAAGCTTTCCGTCATCCGCCGTACTCACCAGACTTTGGGTCTAAGGACTTCAATTCTTTTCAGAATTTGGATAACTTTTTGGTAG